TGTGTGTTTTTTTTATTTTTTTATGTTTGTTTTTTTTTATAATTTTTGTGTGTGTTGTTGTTTTATTATTATGGTTGTGTGTGTTTTTATGTGGGGGTTTATTTTTTTGGGTTTGTTTTTTTTTGTTGTTTTTTGTTTTTTGTTTTGTATTATGTGTTGTTGTGTTTTTTGTAATATTTGTTGTTTATATATTGTTTTTGTAGTATGTTGGGGTGGGGGTGTTGTGTGTTGTGTTTTTTATGTGTGTGTTTGTGTTTAGTTTGTTTTTGGTTTTTATTATATTGTTTTGTTATATTTTGTTTTTTTTTTTATTTTGGTGTGTTTTTTTTGATTTTTATTTTATATTTTTTTATTTTTTTTTTTTTTTTTTGTTGTTCACATATTGCTGGTCCCATTAGTTTGTTGAGCAAGCACTGTATTCCCAAACATTTCTGGAGTTTAAATACCCTTTAATAAGAATAAATGAAGCTTTTTGAAACAGATTGCTCAGCATGTTCTCTTTTTATGTAGAGTCAGTCCTTGTTCATCTTGTGTGTTCTTGTTTTTTGATGTCAGGTTCACTTCATGTTGGGGATGAAATCCTTGAGATCAATGGAAAGAGCGTCCAAAGCCAAAGTGTCGATCACCTGCAGAGTGTATTTGGTGAGGAAATGTTGCTCAAAAGTTTGAAGGGGAAAGAATTGAGACGTGTTTTTTTTTTTTTTTTTTTTATTCCATCTTGAGGAGACCCATGCTGTACATCAGGAAAGGGGGGGGGGTTGGGGTTGTTTTGTAGTTCACGAATGAGGTGGAAGTTTTTGCCCCTAAGGAGAGAAATGAAAATGAATCTCTTGCCTGGTTCCATGGTGTCACTTCATCGCTGATGGACATACGGCACACACCTTGCTTGTGTAGCTAGTGAGGGAGCAACTTTTTTTTTTTTTTTTTTCTTCTGTAATAGTACCCTTTTAGGAAAAGTTCACACTTGCTTTCAAAAACTGCCAGAAAGTAGGTGATATGGTTGTCCGTGTCATGATTCACATCAGTGCTTGCCATTCCAGTGCGTTCCGGATGCAGGAAAATAAGTAGAACGGGCGGCAACTCTTTCCTGCACAGAACTGCACTGGAACTCAGTGCAATGCATCAAAAACGCACTGGAATGCACATGTCCCTATTTAAACTGAAGCAAGAGGGGAAAAAAATGAACTGAAATGCATAAACAAATGCACTGGATTGCGTCAAAAAACGCGCATTGCAAAAACGCATGTGGTCTGGGTTTTCTATAGTGTGAACCGGCCATAAAACTATTCAAAATCTGGAGAGGTTAGAAAATGGGAATATTACTTATCAATGGGAACCTGAGCCTTTGAAATTGCACAGAACCGCATTGATTAACCCCTTGGCGCCGGCGCCTCCCGGCCCTTTAAGGGTCTCAGAAGCCGGGGGGCGGGGGGTTTTAGGGTCATGTGACTGCCGTGATACGCTGTCACAGCGGTTACATGATCGGGAAAGGTCCCGATCGAAGAGGAGATCGGGACCTTTCCGTGAGTACGGGACATGTGTGCTGGGAGCGTGCAGGGCGCGCGCTCTCAGCACATATTTTTTTTTCTTGCACACAAATGTGCGGCTGCTCGGCATTTGTGTGTGGCCGGCGTGAAGAGGTTAAATCTTTCTATAGTCCCCATTTATGTCAGAGGTTCCCCCCTTCACGTTAGATGTCCCCCAATACTGGAGAGCAACCCTCATCCACCCTAGAGCCCTGCAATCACACAGTCCTCCTGATCACATCAAAGCCCTACCTTTTTAGTAAATCAATAAAAAAAAAAAAAAATTTACAAAATATAAAAAAAAATTTACAAAATAGATATCTTTTACATTCACACTAAAATAAAAAAAAAAAAAATAAATAAAAAAAAAAAATATAAATATATATATATATATATATATATATATATATATATATTTATATATATATTTATTATATATTATTTTTTTTTTTTTTTTATTTATTTTAGTGTGAATGTAAAAGATATCTATTTTGTAACTTTTTTTATATATTGTACATTCACATCAGTCCTTGTCCTCAAGGAGCGTACAATCTAAGGTCCCTAACTCACATTCATACATACACATACTAGGGACAATTTAGACAGGAGCCAACTCACCTACCAGCATGTCTTTGGAGTGTGAGAGGAAACTGGAGTACCCGGAGGAAACCCACGCAGGCACAGGGAGAGCATGCAAACTCCAGGCAGGTGGTGCCGTGGTTGGGATTCAATCCAACGACCCCAGTACTGCCAGGCGTAAGTGCTACCCATTCAGCCACTGTGCTGCCCCTATGTGGCATTATTTGGCTAGGCATGGAAATAGGGAAGCAACTAAAGAAATTAAAAAAAAAAAAAAAAGTTTAAAAGAAGTAAATATAATCTACCTTCCTATGATGTACTGATGTTAGCAGCATAAGCATTAAAAATAGTAAATGTTGATTGACAGATTGATGTCCTGCTTTAAATAGCAAACATGTCATACTCACCTGCTCTGTGCAGTGGTGTTGCACAGAGCAGCCCAGATCCTCCTCCTCTTCTGGGGTCTCCCCCACCGGTGCTCCAGGCTCTTCCGTTTCAGCGGGTGCCTCCCATGGAAAGCCGTGTCCCTTTTGTGGGCCTGCTCCCGAGCCGCCCTGTCTGCATCCATTGACACAGAGCGGCAGCTTGCCCCCTCTCCCCATTGGCTCGGCACAGCACTTGATTTACAGCAGCAGGAGCCAATGGCTCCCGCTGCTATCAATTTGCCCAGGCAGGAGAGAGACGGTGGCCAGAGCTGCTGCTTTCATGCACACCTCGGGATCGAAGTATAAGGGGGGGGGGGGGGGGGACATCCTACAGCACCAGAATGCATCAGGGTGAAAAACCTTTAAAGTGGAGTTCCAGTTGAATAAAAAAAAAAAAAAAATCAGTTACAAAAACTGTAGCTGATGACTTTTAAAATACAGCCACTTACCTGTCCCTCGGTCCAGCTGTGTCTTCACCACCGCTGGATTCCCCGGCCGTCTTCTCTCCCCGGCACTGGCATCTTTGTTGTGGGCATCCGGCTGTCAGTTTGAGGCTTCATAGCCGGGTGCCGATTGCGCATGCGCGAGAAGCGCTGCGCTTTGTGAATTATTTATTTCAGGTACTTATATAGCGCTGTCAATTTACTCAGCTCTTTACATATATATTGTACATTCACATCAGTCCCCGCCCCCGAGGAGCGTACAGTCTAAGGTCCCTAACTCACATTCATACATACACATACTAGGGACAATTTAGACAGAAGCCAATTCACCTACCAGCATGTCTTTGGCGTGTGGGAGGAAACCGGAGTACCCGGAGGAAACCAACGCAAGCACAGGGAGAACATGCAAACTCCATGCAGGAGGCGCCGTGGTCGGGAATCAAACCCATGACCCATTTACTGCAAGGCAGACGTGCTAACCACTAAGCCACTGTGAATGGCCACGTAGTCTTCTGGGACCTGTCACGTGTCCCAGAAGGCTACGGGAAAGACCACTTCCGCTTCCGATCACCTTAGACCTGTCAAATTCAGGTACCAGCTCCACAAAGGTGCCAGTCCTTAACGGGGAGCTGGGGACAAAGCCTTAAAGGGGAACTTCCCCTTCTGGGTGGAGCTTCGCTTTAAAGCTTTCGAAACCGTTTAACTGTACTGTTCACTGGGAAGACCCGAACTCAGACAATTGTGAAGGTCCACCGTTGTAGTGAAGGCCATTTTCTGTTCCTGTAGGACTGTCCCCCTGTGTACAAAGCCAGCTCCATAAAGATATGGACTGACCGGTTTGGAGTGGAGGAACTCGAGTGTCCTTCACAGAGCCCCGACCTCATCCCTACATATTTTTGCATTCTTTTGAGCCAGACAGTGGAGCTCATTTCGCACATTTTCTAGATTTCTTTACCCCTTGCTGGGAAAGGCTGGTCACACACAAGGATGAATTGTAGTGGGGACTCCTTCCCTACCGGACTTTGTTGGATTTCAGCTGAAGCCAGGCTGCTTAACCCCTTGACGCCGACGTAACACAAATATGCGGCCTCACGGACCTGGGCTTTTTTCCGTGGGGCCGCATATTTGCGTACCTGTCTTTGTGCTGGGAGCGCGCCGCTCGGCACGCTCCCAGCACCAAGACCGTGGTGTCACTGAGAGCCCCGGGTCCCGTTCTAACGATCGGGACCCGGGACTCCCGATTCCGGGTCACGTGATCGCTGTTATAGCCTCTGATTGGCTATCACAGTGATCAATCACTGTGCAACCCGGCCCCCTTGTTTTCTCTCTCTCTATGAATGGAGAAGAGAGATACATTGTATCTCTCTAACTCCTGACATAGAGAGATAAAAAAAAAAGTTTGTAAAAAAAAAAAAAAAAAAGATAAATAATTAAAAAATAAAAGAAAAAATAAAGAAAAATACCTAGATCAAGGTTTGATCTAGTTCAGTACTAGGGTTAGTGTTTGGGTCAGGGTCAAGGGCAAAGGTCAGGGTCAAAGGTCAGGATTAAAAAAAAAAATTGGTATCAGTGTCAGTTAGTGTTAATGTCAATGTCAGTGACAGTGTGTTTTATGTAAAAAAAAAAATAAAAAAAAAGACAAAAACAAAATGCGCACTGTTGTTTCTGGACTGTACTACGGGTACAAACAACAAATAACATACACATATATGGTATCGCTGCGATCGTCAAGAACTGGAGAATGTATTTTGGGTTGTTCTTTGGTGGTAGGTTATGGTCGTAACAAGAAACACACAGCTAAATTTAAAAAAATGATTTTTTTTTACTATTTTGGCCCAGTTTTCCTTTAATAATAAAAAAAAAATTAGGAGCTATCCATTACCATTTACCACCAAATGAAAGCCCAATTTGTCCTGAAAAAAACAAGGTATAATTCACCTGGATGTACAAAGTAGTTGTGACGATATGTACGGTTTTACTAACACGTCAACGTTGCAGAATTGTGCTTAGGCATTTAGATTTGTTTTACCCTCAGGTGTGAAGGGGTTAAAGGGACAGAACTGTAATGCTGTTTTTAGCTAACCCTGTGTGCTGTAGGAATCCTTTAGCCCCCCCCCAAAAAAAAAAAAAAAAATAAAGCACAGACCATTTTTCTGGTGATTGTTTTGTTCAGTATTCTGTTTATTCTGAGTGCAAACACTTGGCAGATGTTTTTGGATATCACATGATCTGTACGGGTGGGGAGGATTATTAATAAAGCTGGCAGCATTGTAACGTCTTCTCTTTTTTTTTTTTTTCTTCTGTAGAAAGAAAGTAAAGGAACGGTGATGCTGAAGGTTTCCCCCACACAAAGTAACCGCAAGCCACCCCTACAGGTAAAACCTTTTCCCTGAACCTTGAACATTCGTAACCGTCAGCCAGTCTGAGATCATTCGAGTCCCTTTTGCTTTCTATGAATAGATCAGAACCTGGGAGCGTCCAGCAGTAGCCTGTTATTAAGATTCCCGGCCATAGAAATCATTTAGAGCCAAAATTAAGTCATAAAAAGAACAAAACAATTTGCCCTCCAGAGGATTTAACCAAACCCCCCCTTCCCGACCGGGCCATTTTTTGCGCTACAGCACTGCATAAACTTTAACTGACAATTGTGCGGACATGCAACACTGCACCCAAGTGAAATTTGTCTTTTTTTTTTTTTTTTTCTTTTTCCACACAAATTGAGCTTTCTTTCGGTGGTATTTGATCACCTCTGCATTTTTGTATTTTTTGCGCTATAAACGAAAAAAACGACAATTTAACCACTTCCCGACCGGCCATTGCATATAAACGGCCGGACGGTGGCACGTGGCACTGCAGGGACGGGTGGCCGTTTATAAACGGCCTCCCCGTCCTCTGCTTGTGCGCGCTCCCTGGGAGGGTGCAGCACCGCGATCCGGCGCCTGCTGTGTCCTCCAGACACAGTGAAACACCGATCGGCGAACGGGACCTCTGTGCGAGGTCCCGATCATGTGATCACTGATTGGCCAATCGTGATCAAATGCAAAGTAGTAAGCAAGATGTCACTTGTGACATCATTGCTTACTACGTGTGAAATCTGTGAATGATCACAGAGGTCACATGGTACAGGGCTATTCACAACAGCCTTGTACCATGTGACAAGCTGTGACCAATCACAGCTCACTCAGTACTTCTCAATGACTGCAAGAATGCAGCCAGAGAGAAGGAGAAATGATTGCTTTTACATCCTATATGGGTGTAAAAGCAATCCATGTAAAAAAAAAAAAAAAAAAATCATCACCCCCCACAAGTAGTACAGTGTCACCATGGTGACCCTGTACTGCTAGGGTGACAGTATGTAATAAAAAAAAATATATATATAAAAATTTAAAAAAATGTTTAAAAATTATAATTTTTGGTAATAAACTAATCTGGATTTTTTTTTTTTTTTTACTAAAAAGATAACGGAATAAATTTTGGCTAAGATTTATGATGAAATATTATTTATTTGCAAAATTTTATAAAAAAAAAACTTTTTTCAAAATTTTTGGACATTTCATTTACATAGCAAAAAAAAATACAAATCCCAGCGGTGAATAAATACCACCAAAATAAAGCTTTATCTGTCTCAAAAAAATGGTAAAAAATGAATTTGGGTACAGTGTTGCATGACTGCGCAATTGTCATTCAAAGTGTGATAGCGCTAAAAGCTGAAAATTGCCCTGGACAGGAAGGGGGGTAAAAGTGTCCGGTCTGGAAGTGGTTAAAAAAAAAAAAATGTATGTTTTTGACCTTTTGCTATAAAACATGTCCAATAAAAAAATTTAACAAATCAAATTCATCATAAATTTAGGACAAAATGTATTCAGCTCTGTCTTTGCTAAAAAAAAAAAAAAAAAAAAAAAAATATCCCAATACACGTTTAAATGAATTTGTTTACGTGACGGTTCTAGTGTTTACAAATGGCGGTATAGATACCAGAATGTTTATTTATACTAGTAATTGTGGTAATCAGTGACTTATAGCGGGACTGCGGCAGGCATCCCGACACTGGGGGAGGAACTAACTGCCACTGACATTCCCAGTGACACTAATGTAGTGATCAGTGCTAATAAGCACTGACACTGTACTAATGGCACTGGGCAGGAAGGGGTTAACATCTGGGGCGATCAAAGGGTTAACTGTGTGTTACTAGGGAGACATGCTGTGCAGGGAGATACAAAGCAGCATGTCCTTGCTGGCAGGAGAGAGACCTGTGTTGTTTAGACACAGGTCTCTCCCCTGTCAGCTTTCCACAACGATCGCCGAGTGCCAGCCGGGAATCGCCAGGCAGCCATACTGCGCTAGCTGTATTACCTGCAGGATAGAGCGACGGTCCTTTCACACGGGGCCGGCCTGTTTAGTGGATCCGCTTGCTCAGCGGGGATCAGCGGACAGAGAAGGGACAGAGCTGCTCGCTCTCCTCAGTGGGTGGTCGGATGAAAACTGACTGCCTGTCGGTTTCCATATGATAGGGCAGCACAGTGGCTAAGTGGTTAGCACTTCCGCCTGGCAGTACTCGGGTCGTCGGTTTGAATCCCAACCACAGCACCACCTGCCTGGAGTTTGCATGTTCTCCCTGTGCCTGTGTGGGTTTCCTTCGGGGTACTCCGGTTTCCTCCCACACTTCAAAGACATGCTGGTAGGGTAATTGGCTCCTGTCTAAATTGTCCCTAGTATGTGTATGTATGGATGTGAGTTAGGGACCTTAGATTGTACGCTCCTCGGGGGCGGGGACTGATGTGAATGTACAATATATATGTAAAGCGCTGAGTAAATTGACGGCGCTATATAAGTACCTGAAATAAATAAATATGACCCAATCCGACGAGCGAAGGGGAATTGGATCCCCATCCGTCCCACACAAAAAAAAAAAAAAAAAAGGATCGGATTGGATGTCAACGAGTGTAAACTGACCTATATCCATTTACACCCGCCGCTCCATAGAGGAGAATGGAGGTTCCGATCGGGTTTGCCTCAAAAACGGGCAGGCGGACCCGATCGGAATGTCCATCTGAAAGAGGCCCCAAGACCACCTTCCTGGCTGTGCTTTGTGGCAGGGCTGTGTAATTCTTAGGACTGGATGGTCTGAAATATATAACTTTTGGCAGGTAAAACGGCTCTTTATAATACAGTTTGTGGATTTCCTGGCGTTCGTCTTGTTTATAAAACGAATAAGTCGGTTGTGAATTCTTAGTCCTTTCTTGTCTCTTTGTATATTTAATCAGATGTTTGTGAGAGCGCTGTTTGATTACGACCCTCTCTCGGACCCGCTCATTCCTTGCCGGGAGGCCGGGCTGCGTTTCCGCACTGGAGATGTATTGCAAATCATAAACAAAGACGACGCCAACTGGTGGCAAGGGAAGACGCAAGGGGCGGAGACTGCTGGTCTTCTACCCTCCCCTGAGCTGCAAGAGTGGTGAGTAGAGTGACCTTACGTTGGAGTGCCTGGCTAGTTGTACGCATTGAGAAGTGGAGCGGTGGGTAAGAGGACACATGGTCTGAAATGCCTTCTATGGACTAGTCACGGGTGGGCAACTGTGGCCCTCCAGCTGTTGTAGAACTACAAGTCCCATGAGGCATTGCACAACTGACAGTTACAAGCATGACTCCCAAAGGCAGAGGCATGATGGGACTTGTAGTTCAGCAACAGCTGGAGGGCCTTAGTTGAAGGACTAGGTGAAGAACTTGTGAAGGTTCCTATACAGACAGCAGACATGGAATAAACATCTACGATCGTCATAACAGATCCAAAGGCGGCAGACGCTGAGCCTGATTATCTCCAGCCTTGCCCTCGCCTGGACTGAACCTGCTTAGTCTGATCTCACCGCACACTGTGAGCTTCTCACTATCTGCATTCCAACGTCAGCACGTCAGAACCAGCCTCATTTCCTGGCTGGAGGACGTCCGCCATCCAGTCTGACTAGCCCTGGCCCCCACCCCTTTAATTTTCAGTTATCGGGGGCTCCGTACCACATGTTGGCTTTTACCTTCAGTAGTCTGTATTCAATTGCAGCCTGTCTAGGAACACCCACTTCTCCAGACGGACCCCCAGCTATCGAGGCATTTTGATAGGGGCAGCACAGTGGCTAAATGGTTAGCACTTCCGCCTGGCAGTACTCGGGTTGTTGGTTCAAATCTCAACCACGGCACCACCTGCCTGGAGTTTGCATGTTCTCCCTGTGCCTGCGTGGGTTTCCTCCCACACTCCAAAGACATGCTGGTAGGTTAATTGGCTCCTGTCTAAATTGTCCCTAGTATGTGTATGTATGAATGTGAGGTAGGGATCTTAGATTGTACGCCCCTTGAGGGTTAGGGACCTTAGATTGGACGCCCCTTGAGGGTTAGGGACCTTAGGGATTGTACGCCCCTTGAGGGTTAGGGACTTATGTGAATGTAATATATATATATATTATTTTTATATATATATATTTTATGTTCTGGGATGATTGATTTCTGTGCATGCGCAGCTCCGCTTACGTTGCTAGCATGGCCCTTGTGTTCTGGGATGATTGACTCCTGTGCATATGCAGCTCAGCTTACATTGCTGGCATAGTCCCTATGTGCTGGGATGACTGACTCCTGGTTACATTGCTGGCATGGTCCCTGTGTGCAGGAATGATTGACTCCTGTGCATGCGCAGCTCAGCTGATGTTGTCACATGGTCCCTGTGTGCTGGGATGATTGACTACTGTGCATGCGCAGCTTAGTTTACATTGCCAACAGGGTCCCTGTGTGCTGGGATGATTGACTCCTGTGCATGCGCAGCTCAGCTTACATTTCTGGCATGGTCCCTATGTGTGCTGGGATGATGACATTGACTCCTGTGCATATGCAGCTCAGCTTACATTGCTGGCATAGTCCCTATGTGCTGTGATGACTGACTCCTGGTTACATTGCTGGCATGGACCCTGTGTGCTGGAATGATTGACTCCTGTGCATGCGCAGCTTAGCTTACATTACCAACAGGGTCCCTGTGTGCTGGGATGATTGACTCCTGTGCATACGCAGCGCAGCTTACATTGCTGGCATGGTCCCTATGAGCTGGAATGATTGACTCCTGTGCATGCGCAGCTCTGCTTACATTTCTGGCATGGTCCCTATGTGTGCTGGGATGATTGACTTCTGTGCATGCGCAGCTCAGCTTACATTGCCGGCATGGTCCCTGTGTGCTGGATGATTCACACTCTGCTTACATTGCCGGCACGATCACTGTGAGCTGGATGATTGACTCCTGTGCATGCGCAGTCAGCTTACGTTGTCAGCATGGTCCCTGTGTGCTGGATGATGACTCCTGTGCATGCGCAGCTCAGCTTACATTGCCGGCACGATCCCTGTGTGCTGGGATGATTGACTTCTGTGCATGCGCAGCTCAGCTTACATTGCCGGCACGATCCCTGTGTGCTGGGATGATTGACTTCTGTGCATGCGCAGCTCAGCTTACATTGCCGGCACGATCCCTGTGTTCTGGGATGATTGATCCTGTGCATGCGCAGCTCAGCTTACATTGCCGGCACGATCCCTGTGTTCTGGGATGATTGACTCCTGTGCATGCGCAGCTCAGCTTACATTGCCGGCATGGTCCCTGTGTGCTGGGATGATTGACTCCTGTGCGTGCGCAGCTCAGCTTACATTGCCGGCACGATCCCTGTGTTCTGGGATGATTGACTCCTGTGCATGCGCAGCTCAGCTTACATTGCCGGCACGGTCCCTGTGTGCTGGGATGATTGACTCCTGTGCATGCGCAGCTCAGCTTACATTGCCGGCATGGTCCCTGTGTGCTGGGATGATTGACTCCTGTGCATCAGCTTACGTTGCCAGCATGCACGCACATTGGCCAGTGAAGATGGCCGAAGACCAGCATCTACCAGAAGATGAAGGCAACTGAGATGATTGAAGGAAAGGGAAGTTTAGCTCCACGTTAGAGAAGAGATCTCACAAGGAGACTTTGATTTTGGTAGCATGTTCTGATAAAGACCGACCGAAGGTCGTACCTGTTTAGTTTTTTGTGTGCTCATCAGAATGGGGCTAATCTTGCTTTATATGGCAGTTGCTCTTCTATAAACACTTTATGGCGTTTTATGACAGTGCAGATAAGGCAGAAACTGTCTACAGAGGAAAACTCAAAGTGCAGAAATACTCCTGGGCCCCGGATTCAGACCCTTGTGTTGCGATAACACGAAACTTCCTGCATTGATACTGTTTATTATTAACCCCTCGCCCTCCTGAGGATACCCCCCCCCCCCCTTCCTGACCAGGCCATTTTTTTGCGATACGGTGCAGTTACTATAACTGACAATTGCATGGTCATGCAACGCTGCACCCAAATGCACTTTGTCCTTTCCCCCCCCCCCACAAATGGAGCTTTCTTTCAGTGGTATTTGATCACCTGTGCATTTTTTTTTTTTTGCGCTATAAACCAAGACCGACAATTTTGAAAAAAATATATATATTTTTGACTTTTTGCTATTAAACATATCCAGTAAAAAAAATCTAAATTTGTCAAATTTAAAAAAAAAAAAAAAAAAATCCCAATACGTGTAAATTAATTGGTTTGTAGTTGTAGCATTTACAAATGGCGGTATATACTGGAATTTGTTGTGGGGTTTTTTTTTTTCCCCCCCCCACAAATTGAGCTTTCTTTTGGTGGTATTTGATCGCCTGTGTGTTTTTTTTTGTTTTTTTTTTTTTTTTTTTGTTTTCACTATAAAAAAAAAAAAAACCCAATAATTTTGAAGAAACAATATTTTTGACTTTTTGCTAGTAAAAACATTGAAAAAAAATCAAATTTCGTCATAAATTTAGGCCAAAATGTATTCTGCTCCGTGTCTTTGCTACAAAAAATCCCAATACGTGTAAATGAATTGCTTTACATGAAAGTTACAGCGTTTACACAAATGGCGGTATATATACTGGAATTTGTTTTTGTAAAAAAAAAAAAAATTATTTTTTTTTTCTTTTACTAATATCAGCGACTTATAGCGGTACTGTGGCGGACATTCTGACACTGGGGGGAACTGACTTGGTGTCGCTGAAGCACACACCCTAGTAAAACACTCCCAGCACACAGTTAACCCTTTGATAGACCCTCACATTAACCCCTTCCTGCCCAGTGACACCAATACAGTGATCAGTGCTAATAAAGAGCACTGACACTACTAATGACACTGGGCAGGAAGGGGTTAACATCTGGGGCGATCAAAGGGTTAACTGTGTGTTTTTCACTGTGAACACACTGCTGTTGTATGACTCTGCAGCCATACAAAGCAGTGTGCAGGCGCTGACTGGAGAGAGATCTGTACTGTTTACATACAGGTTTCTACCCCCGTTGGAGATTGCCGGGTGCCGGTCGGGAATCCCCAGCCGGGGCCTGGTGATTGACAGCCAAGTCCACGAATGGCAGCGCGCGTAGGGGAGTGCACGATCCTTCTAAATGGAACTGCAAAATCGTGTAAATAAACGTGATCTTTTCCCACCCTGTAGCAGGATTTCCGCTATAGGGTGACGCGGAAGCTGTTATGGGGCCCTAGTTGGGGGTGTTTTGTATTCCCATAGAACACTGCTCTTGCTGTTGGTGTGATTGGTTGAATTTCACGTTGTTTGTTGTCTTTCAGGCGCGTGGCGAGTTCGAATACAAACAACCAGATACCTCAGACCTGCAGCCCCTTTAGCAAAAAGAAGAAATGCAAGGATAAGTATCTTGCAAAACACAGCTCCAGTGAGTATTGATGGCCGCACGGCTCCATTGTTGTGTTCGTTCCCTGCACAGCGCTCATTAATCACACGTTCTCTCCAATCTGCCTCCAGTATTTGACCAGCTCGATGTGGTGTTGTACGAAGAAGTGGTGTCTCTGCCGGCATTCACACGGAAAACCCTGGTGCTGATTGGTCAGTATGAGACGCAGGATTGGCACGACTGTTCTGTAGATGAGATCGGTGGCCGTATGCATGATGCAGATTTACTATTGGACCTTTTTTGTATCGTTTGTTTCTGTGTCAGGAGTTATGTAAAAATAGAAAAGAAATGTGTTCTGTGTTCTGAATATATTCATTGAAAGCTGAACTCCTGACTGACCGCTAGATCCAGGTATGAGGGAGAGGTTTACCTATCAGGATTTGTATTCCTTCTATCAAGGCTTGAGATCCACACAGCCGGGTGGAGGGCACAGCCCTGCGCACAGCCAGGTGGGGGCACAGCCCTGCCGCACAGCCAGGTGGGGGGCACAGCCCATGCCGCACAGCCAGGTGGGGGGCACAGCCCATGCCGCACAGCCAGGTGGAGGGCACAGCCCATGCCGCACAGCCAGGTGGAGGGCACAGCCCATGCCGCACAGCCAGGTGGAGGGCACAGCCCATGCCGCACAGCCAGGTGGAGGGCACAGCCCATGCCGCACAGCCAGGTGGAGGGCACGGCCCTCTGCCGCACAGCCCAGGGTGTGGAGGGCACGCCCCCTCTGCCGCACAGCCGGGTGTGGAGGGCACGGCCCTGCCGCACAGCCAGGGTGTGGAGGGCACGGCCCTCTGCCGCACAGCCGGGTGTGGAGGGCACGGCCCTCTGCCGCACAGCCGGGTGTGGAGGGCACGGCCCTCTGCCGCACAGCCGGGTGTGGAGGGCACGGCCCTCTGCCGCACAGCCGGGTGGAGGGCACGGCCCTCTGCCGCACAGCCGGGTGGGGGCACGGCCCTCTGCCGCACAGCCGGGTGGGGAGGGGAGGGCACGGCCCTCTGCCGCACAGCCGGGTGGGGAGGGCACGGCCCTCTGCCGCACAGCCGGGTGGGGAGGGCACGGCCCTCTGCCGCACAGCCGGGTGGGGAGGGCACGGCCCTCTGCCGCACAGCCGGGTGGGGAGGGCACGGCCCTCTGCCGCACAGCCGGGTGGGAGGGCACGGCCCTCTGCCGCACAGCCGGGTGGGGAGGGCACGGCCCTCTGCCGCACAGCCGGGTGGGAGGGCACGGCCCTCTGCCGCACAGCCGGGTGTGGAGGGCACGGCCCTCTGCCGCACAGCCGGGTGGGGAGGGCACGGCCCTCTGCCGCACAGCCGTGGGGAGGGCACGGCCGGGTGGGGAGGGCACGGCCCCTGCCGCACAGCCGGGTGGATGAAACAAGTTTTCCTGTTTGGACTGAGGAATGCAGAGGTGTCATCTCCTTACACCCAGCCTATTGAAGGAGCAGGCAGCCAATGAATAAGCTCCTCTTTCTCCCTTTTTGCTGTTCTCCCTCTCCTACCAGCTTGCACTGCAGAACAATTGATTGGCTTTGCATGCTGCTTCTCCCTCGATCAGCCTGCGCTCTGCTGTACAGGGATTGGAGGTCACATTTATGTACTCGCGTTGTTTACATTTTACGATTGATTTATTAACACAGATCTAAATTTATTTGTGTCTTTTTTTTTATACTTGCCTGGAGTTCACCTTTTTGAATATATATTATGTTGTGTGACCATTGCTTGTACCTTTTTTTTATACCTTTTTCTACTAGTGTGCCATTTTGTGGTGGGTATACTGGATGTGCAGTACGGTGGGGGGGGGGGGCGGCTAAGGGACGGCTGTAGTGGGGTGAAAGGAGAATGGTTTCCATGTCTTCTGTGGGGGGAGAATTTCCCAGACTTCAGATAAAAGCCGCATTGCTTTCTGTTTGCGGGTCCAGGAGAGGGTTGTAATCTCAGCAATATAATGGGATTCCACCCAAGGAACATGGCCGCCAGAAATCCTGAAACTACATTAGATGGAGAATGCAATAGTGACACCTAGAAATCATTCATGTCTACAAACCGCCTACTTCAATGGATTCTGTTTTCTCTTCTGGCTTCTTCTGTAGGTGTCAGCGGAGTGGGTCGTAGTCACATCAAAAATACTTTACTTACTAAATATCCGGAGAGATTTTCTTATCCTTCACCACGTGAGTGTCCACATTACGATTGTACAGATATGTAGCTTGTCTGAGTGTCACAGATGTATGGAGGGGTGGGGGAAGGCGGGGTGTTGGTGACGGATGACGTGTGAAGGGGTGGGGGAAGGCGGGGTGTGTTGGTGACGGATGACGTGTGAAGGGGTGGGGGAAGGTGGGGTGTTGTGAACAGGGGTGACGGATGACGTGTGAAGGGGTGGGGGAAGGCGGGGTGTTGTGGTGACGGATGACGTGTGAAGGGGTGGGGGAAGGCGGGGAGGTTGGGGGAAGGCGGGGTGTTGGTGACGGATGACGTGTGAAGGGGTGGGGGAAGGCGGGGTGTTCGTGACGGATGATGTATGCGGGGGTGTGAAGGGGTGGGGGAAGGGTGGCGGATGACGTATGGAGGGTGAGGGGAAGGTGAGGTGTTGGTGACGAATGATGTATGGAGGGGCGGGGGAAGGCGGGGGTGTTGGTGACGGATGACTTATGGAGGGGCGGGGGAAGGCGGGGTGTTGGTGACGGATGACTTATGGAGGGGCGGGGGAAGGCGGGGTGTTGGTGGTGACGGATGACTTATGGAGGGGTAGGGGAAGGCGGGGTGTTGGTGACGGATGATGTGGCAGTGCAATTATTTCTTCATCTATTCTTTTTATATTGAGAAGTGTGAGGGAATGAAAATGTAATGCTGTGATGGTTGGTGGTGGTTGGAGGGGTTTTCCGAGTGATGTGAATGTACAATATACGTGTACAGCGCTGTGTAAATTGGCGGCAATTATAGAAGGACCTGTAATGAAATAGAAACTAACTGTGAACGGTTGTTCCCCCCCCCCCCTTGTTTTCCTGGTAGACACCTCCCGGCCACCTAAGCGCGGAGAAGAAGACGGGGCGGCCTATCATTTTGTGTCTGTGGATGACATGAGCAAAGCAATCTCAGAAAATCTGTTTATGGAGTTCGGGAGCTTTAATGGCTACATGTTTGGGACAAAATTCCAGACTGTAACAGACATACATAAAGAAGGGAAGGTGGCTCTTCTGGATATAGAACCTCAGGTGAGAAGAAGGGGGACACCTACACAGCAAGCAAAACAAATTACTTTTCCTTCTGTCTTTTTGTTTTCCTTTTAAACCTGAACTTTAGCTATCATTTATTAATTTGCCTTCTTCCTAGCACTGTTCCCCACAGATCTGTGCCGCTCTTTCTGCTACTGCTCATCTAGTTTGCAGGCAACATTCAGTCTGCTTCCTGTGAGCCCAGACTGTAATGGGCTGGATGGGGCTGTGCTTGCCTTATGAGACAGATGTTGAATCATGATTCCGCCCCCGCGGACGCGGATGGTTTGGGGCGCGACGCCTCCCGCGGACGCGGATGGTTTGGGGCGCGACGCCTCCCGCGGACGCGGATGGTTTGGGGCGCGACGCCTCCCGCGGACGGGGCGCGACGCCTCCCGCGGACGGGGCGCGACGCCTCCCGCGGACGGGGCGCGACGCCTCCCGCGGACGGGGCGACGCCTCCCGCGGACGGGGCGCGACGCCTCCCGCGGACGGGGCGCGACGCCTCCCGCGGACGGGGCGCGACGCCTCCCGCGGACGGGGCGCGACGCCTCCCGCGGACGGGGCGCGACGCCTCCCTCCCACTGGCCACCAATGGTTTGGGGCGCAACTCCCACAGATACCAGGGCTTTTTTTTTTTACTTCTGCTGGCCACAGTTCTTCCCCCCACCTACGTTTGAAGATCAGTAAACTGGCCCTTTGTTTAAAAAGTTTGAAGATCCCTGAATTAAAGGATAAGTACATGTAAGACCTATATTACGCTCAAATATGGATCTGTGGAAGAGGGAGGTTGGGATTAGTTCCCTCAGGGAAAAAAGATAAATGTAGGCATTACCTCCGTAACCTTATCAACCACTCAGTGTCCTCCACCCCTCTCTGCCAATCCCTCCACTGACCTCCACCCCTCTCTGCCAATCCCTCCACTGGCTTCCAACTTGTCCTCACCCCTCTCTGCCAATCCCTCCACTGGCTTCCAACCATTGTCCTCCACCCCTCTCTGCCAATCCCTCCACTGGCTTCCAACCATTGTCCTCCACCCCTCTCTGCCAATCCCTCCACTGGCCTCCTCTCAGTGTCCTCCACCCCTCTCTGCCAATCCCTCCATGGCCTCCGCTCAGTGTCCTCCACCCCTCTCTGCCAATCCCTCCATTGGTCTCTGTCCTCCACCCCTCTCTGCCAATCCCTCCACTGGCCTCCATCCCTCTCTGCCAATCCCTCCACTGGCTTCTGATTGCCCAGCGACCTAAATTTGAAATAATAACCTACAAAAACTAATCACAACTCTGCTCTGAGATGCATCACCTATCTTTTCTTCAAATATCACCCAAATCAGCCACTCCTCAAGACATCCTTCACTCAAATTGTGTCGTCCTTCCCATGCTCCTCTCCAGGATTTTTCCCAGAGCCTCTCCCATCCTCTGGAACTCTCTACCTCTGTCCAGCTACCTCATACTCCTTTTAGGCGATCCCTGAAAACTCCTCTCTTCAGCGAAGCCCATCACCCCTCGTACTGGCTGAACTTTTATATAGGGATGCACCGATTTTAGCAGCTGAAAATAGGGTTTTTGGCATTGTGCCGATAGAGGGGGAAAACAAAAAGTGCTGATAATGGCATGCTGTGCCCCATAGACTTCAATGAAAAATCCCGTCCCATTCATTTCAAAGCCAAAATGTTCCCTAGTGGCTTCAGTGCAAAATCATGTCCTATAGACTTCAATGCAAACCCCCTCCCAGTGACTTCAGTGCAAAGACGCCAGCCATGTTAAATTTAAAGAAACATTTTTAACAAACTTTCCGTTTTTTAAGTGCATCCTAAATTTTCGTTTTGGCACTGACATTTTAATTTCAGTGCACCTCCTACTTTTATCACTTCCATTTGCTCATCCTCTACAGTTATAACCTTTTTGTACCGCTTGCTCCACCCTAGTCACATAGTTAGTCTGGCTGAAAAAAGACAAAAGTCCATCCAGTTCAGCCATAACCCTTACAACCCTTTTAGATTGTAAGCTCTTATGAGCAAGGCCCTCTTGTATTGTTGTATTGTCTCCCGTTCTATTGTAAAGCGCTGAGCAAACTGTTGGCGCCATATAAATCCTGTAGAATAATAATCCTCTTAACCCCTCCCCCTCCTGAGGATTACAACCCCCCCTCCCCCTTCCTGACCAGGCCATGTTTTGCGTTACGGCGCTGCGTTACTTTAACTGACAATTGCGCACCCAGATGAAATTTACGTCCTTTTTTCCCCACGAGTAGAGCTTTCCTTTGGTGGTTTTTGATCACCTCTGCGGTTTTTTTTCAATTTTTTTGTGCTATAAGCAAAAAAAGACCGACCATTTTGAGAAAAAAAAACCTATATTTTGGACTTTTTGCTATAAAACATGTCCAGTAAAAAAATTTGAAATCAAATGTAGGCCAAAACGTATTCTGCAAAACGAAAAAAAATTCCCAATACGTGTAAATGAATTGGTTTACGTGAAAATTACAGCGTTTACAAATGGCGGTATAGATACTGGGATTTTTTTTAATTTTTATTTTTCCTTCCTGGCAATGGCGACGATCTGCGACTTTTAGCGGGACTGCGGCAGACATTCTGACACTGGAGGGGTGGGACTTGGTGTCATTGACATTCCCAGTGACACCAATACAGTGATCAGTGCTAAAAAAAAAAGCACTGATGCTGTACCAATGGCACTGGGCAGGAAGGGGTTAATGTGAGGGTCTATCAAAGGGTTAACTGTGTGCTGGGAGTGGTTTACTAGGGGGTGGGGGGTGTGCTTCACTGTAAGCAAACTAATCAGGATGGTTGTGCTGTGTGCCGGAGCTGACAGGGAAGAAGACCTGTAAACAAAACAGTCTTCCTCCCTGTCGGCGATTGTCGGTAATCGCCAGCCGGGACCCAGTGATTGAGATCTCCGGCCACGAACGGCCGCACGCACCCCCTACCCGGACATGCAAAATCACGTGTGTGTATATATACATGTTTTTGCGCACCCCTGCCGCCATGTAGCAGTATATCTGCGGGAAAGCAGTTAAAGCCCACTTATCTTTGAACTGTCATTTGTTGATTTCCTTTAGTCCTCTGGTACTGTATACATGTATGGTAGTGAAGGACACAAAACTTCTCATTTTAGGGAATTATTTTATTGATGTATTTGGTGATTTCTATTTTGTTGATTTTTTTTTTTATTTTTGTCTCCCAGACTCTGAAGATGGTGCGCACAGCAGAACTGGCTCCGTTCATTGTGTTTGTGTCTCCTACGGATGCTGACAAAGTAAGTGAATGAAGACCTTGCCCCACCCCCACCCCTAGATCTATTCTACCAGCTGAAGCTTTTCTGTGGGCTGAGCAAATCTGCTTCTGCTCTCTTGAATGCATTCTACATACACTGCCATGGGGGAGCTATGGAGGTCACCACAGTTATGGTCTGACTGCCATTCTAGGGGGCTTCCCTATAGGAATATATGCTGCCCGCATAACACATGTGCGATGGCAAAAGGGTGGGCTTTACACTGCACACGTGTGTCACCGGGCAGCCAATGTTTCTGTGCTGAGAGCGCGTTCCCAGCACTGAGGCTGTGTTGTTCACCAGGGCTTACGATCAGCAGGACTGGCTGTTGATCACGTGACCTCTGTGACTGCCGATCACAGCAATCCCATGATCGCCAATCCTTCAGCAGATAACTGTAATCCCATAATCGCCAATCCTTCAGCAGATCACGGCAATCCCATGATCGCCAATCCTTCGGCAGATCACGGTAATCCCATGATCGCCAATCCTTCGGCAGATCACGGTAATCCCATGATCGCCAGTCCTTCGGCAGATCACGGTAATCCCATGATCGCCAGTCCTTCGGCAGATCACGGTAATCCCATGATCGCCAGTCCTTCGGCAGATCACGGTAATCCCATGATCGCCAGTCCTTCGGCAGATCACGGTAATCCCATGATCGCCAGTCCTTCGGCAGATCATGGTAATCCCATGATCGCCAATGCTTCAGCAGATCACGGTAATCCCATGATCGCCATTGCTTCAGCAGATCACGGTAATCCCATGATCGCCATTGCTTCAGCAGATCACGGTAATCCCATGATCGTCAGTCCTTCAGCAGATCACGGTAATCCCATGATCGCCAGTCCTTCAGTAGAAGTTTGAGGCGGTATAATTGTGTGTCTTAGTGTTGTGTTTATTGTATCTGATCCTAGATTGTAAGCTCTGATGAGTCGGCCCTCTGATTCCTCTGTATTGTACCTGTACTGTCTGCCCTCGTGTTGGCGCTGTATAAATCCTGTATAATAATTTGTCTGGTGTTTTCCCCCCCTTGTAGTCGGATGCACTGCAGAAGCTTCGTACCGACTCTGACGTCCTCCGCACTCGCTATGCACAGTACTTTGATCTGACTCTGGTCAATAATGACGTGGAACAGACTGTGAACGACCTACTCGAAGCTTTTGATGCTGCATGTGCCTCTCCCCAGTGGGGTCCCCGGTGTCTTGGGTATATTGACTTCCATCCTTTATTACCGCCCCCAAACATCCGCTCCATTTACAGCTCCGCATACAAGATGTTACCTTTTTAAATTTTTAATTGGCAGTTAGTCCCCGGTCACACTGGGCGCGACTTGGCATGTGATTCGCATGCTATACGACTTGCAAATCGCATTGCGAGTCGCACCCTATCGTCCACAAGTACAGCGGTCATATCGGTGCGGTTTTCGACTTAGTCGGAGCCGCACCGATTTCTAAAGTTGACCATGCACTACTTTTGGTGCGATTTGCATAGACATCTGTGTCGGATGTCTTGCAAATCGCACTTGAAATTGGCATCTCACCCGACTTTGAAATTGTGCGACTTCACTGTAAGTCGCGCGATTTCAAAGTCGAGATTGGTGTGACCGGGATATTACCGATGTGAACATGCCTGTGCTGATGAGTAGTTCGGTGTTTTTTACAATTCTGATTATCAGATTAGGATTTTTTTGTGACGTTCCCTGAAGACCGGCGTATCTTTATTCAGGTCCTCTGTGTGTAATATCAGAACCTGGTGTATTGCCCCCTGAAGTTGTACAAGTATGGACCGGTGTTCCTACCCTGAATGGTTCATACATTTCCTCCAGATGTGTGTAGCAGTGCTGCAGCATTTAGCATCTGTGGGCTCCCCCAGGGAAGTGACAGGGCTGAGCTTTGTGGAGCAGGGAGGAGCTTTGTGTCACGCGGAGTGGGGGGGGTGGAGCTTTGTCATGCGGAGCAGCATTGTCATGTGGAGTGGGGAGGAGCTTTGTATTATGTGGGTGGAGCTTTGTCAGGTGGCGCTTTGAGTCACGCGGAGCAGCATTGTCATGTGGAGCGGGGAGGAGCTTTGTGTTACGGGGGTGGAGCTTTCTCAAGTGGAGCTTTGTCAGATGGAGCGGGGGTGGAGCTTCGTGTCACGCAGAGTGGGGAGGAGCTTTGTGTCACGTGGAGTGGGGGGTGGAGCTTTGTGTCACGCGGAGCAGCTTTGTGTCACGCGGAGCGGGGGTGGAGCTTTGTCACACGGAGCGGGGGTGGAGCTTTGTGTCACGGGGAGGAGCTTTGTGTCACGTGGAGCGGGGAGGAGATTTGCGTCACGTGAACAGACCGTAGCGCAGTTCATGTAAGGCAGCCTAGGATGTGAGTGTAGATCCTCTGTGACTGCCGTGTATAGATGGGGCTGTGCTCTGGAGGACATGAGTGGTTTCAGGAGAACAATTGTGTTTTGTAATTGTTTGCATTGTGCTCCTGAACTTACTAGAACCATTGACTACTCCAGGAGAGTACATCTCCAGCACAGCCCCTTTATACCTTGCATATTAGACCTTCCATTTCTGGGAGTGTCTAGTTACTGTCAGTGCTGCTCCAGCTCCTCTCCTCCCTACATAGCCTTTTATGTAGCTGCCAGGGGAGGAGCAAAGTGGAATACTGTGGATCAAGGGTGGGCAGTCTTGGTGCTTCAGCTGTTGTGTAACTACAAATCCCATGAGGCATTGCATGACTGACAGCCACAGGCATAATGGGACTTAGTTTTACCGTCCCTGAAGGGCTCAGGTTACCTACCCCTGCTATAGTGTTCCTTGAGTGACAACGCTGAGTCTGCTGACATCACATCCAAGATGGCGGCACCCAGCAGCTGTCTCTGGGATGTCCACACAATGGAGGCTTTTACAGTAACATAACGTGCCTAAAATGCACATCTAATGTTGTGGACTGATTGGTGATGTCTGGTCTGGTGCCGGGGTCTCTCTTCAGCTTCAGTCATGTACCTGTGATCAGGGGTGTATAGATGTTCCAGGTCCCTCGTGAGGCTGCGGATCGGATTGGCTAGAGCAGGGATTCATTGCTACGTTTCTTGCATGAGCGCCAGGTACATACGCAGCAAACCTGATCCTAGGCTAGATGGAACCCTCACAGTGCAGGTCCCGGTCCTCGTGTGCCGAACATACACAGCATTCAGAATCCAGAGGTACGCAGAACCCCAATTCTGGTATACTGCAGAGTATTATACAATGAAAGTATTAAATCCTATCCCATGAAGCAGGCTGATGGGAAATGACAGCTGGGGGTGTGTCTGTCCCTACATTCATGGTGATCCTTTATGGACCGGTTATTAGCACAGAACAGAATACAGTTTAGAAATCAATTTTTAAACAAATTCTGCAGAGAATATAGCTGGTGGTTCAAGGAGAACCCAACTCAATAATCAGACTGTATGCAATCAGAGCTGTTTTTATTTATTTTTACCCCTCCCCATTATCAGCATGAGCTCCACATTCCAACCATTTCATATCAGCTAAGAGCTGAACTTCCTCCAATCAGATGGGGAGAACTGCAATGAGGTTCGGGGCTCAAGGTGGCCATACACTTGTACATTCCTTTAGGTCTACCATTCGCTATTTGTATCCAGTCACTAGTCCTATTCTTGTACTAAACTGGGAGAATTGTCTAGTTTTGGTAAATCTAAAGGAGACGGTACAGTCAGATTGTATAGTGTGTGGCCAGCTTCAGTTACACCAGTTATTTGCTACTGAGCTATTTAATCCCTTGCTGGCGCATCGCATTAAACTAGAATGACACAGGAAGTTTTGGGCAGTGCAGCCATCTTACTAGAACAGCTAGAATTTACTAAACATGAAAATATATATATATATATATAAAAAAAATATATTTTTCATTCCAATTTTTCGGTTTTATTTTTTTTTGTATATTTTCAACTTATGATTTTTAGTGCTAGCACACAGGGGAAAAAAAAAAAAAAAAAAAAAAAAATATATATATATATATAAAAAAATTTTTTTTTTACTTTCCCTGTGTCATAGCAATAAAATCACATTAAAAAAATTTAAAATATACATGAAAATAAAAACAGAAAAATTGGAGCCTCCTCACATATGCAGACATTTCGGTTCGGTTTTCAGCCATATGCATTCCGAATTTTCGGTATCTGTTTTGGCACCAGAATTTTAATTTTGCTGTGCAACACTAATAAAAATATATATATAAAATGTAAATTATAACGTAAGCTACACCTAGACCATGCACTGGTGGCCAATTGCACAGGATTGGCACATTTTGCAACCATGCCAGATCACTCCTTACCTGTGTAGCTTACTCCATAGAAAGCCCAATATACTATGAGGGTTGTACTGACAGTAAAGTGGCCATAACTTTTAGGAACTTCTATAGGTTTTTCAGATTTCATGTTGGTAGAGTAACTTCCTCTATAGGAACTCTTCTTCTTTTTCTTCATTGCATGTAAATGATGGAATCCAATTAGAACCAACATGCGGTCATTGAGGCCTTGACAAAGGAGCGGACTGACTGACGCAGAAGGCTACTGAATGCTCCAATCAGTGGCGTCATCTCCATAAACATTCTGTAGCCTTCTGTGGATGTCAGTCAGCCCGCTCCTTTGTCAAGGCCTCATGTTGCTTCTTATTGGAAACCATTTACCTACATTGAAAAAAAAGTTAATAATTTACAGAAGTTGTCCAAATTTCACGTTAGAGTAGCTTTTGTTATTGGAATCCATTTACCTGCAATGAAAAAAGTTAACAAAAGCTACTCTAATGTGAAATTTGGACAACTGTAAATTAACTTTTTTTTTTTCCAATGCAGGTAAATGGATTCCAATAAGAAGCAACATGCGGTCATTGAGGCCTTGACAAAGGAGCGGACTGACTTACACAGAAGGCTACAGAATATTGGACACCATTGATTAGGCACAGAATATTGGTGACTCTTGTCATGGTGATCTCCAGAAACAATGGCCTTCTCATTGGTGACTCTTGTCAGTGGTGTCATCTCCATAAACAATGTCTTCTCATTGGTGACTCTTGTCATGGTGTCATCTCCATAAACAATGTCTTCTCATTGGTGACTCTTGTCAGTGGTGTCATCTCCATAAACAATGTCTTCTCATTGGTGACTCTTGTCAGTGGTGTCATCTCCATAAACAATGTCTTCTCATTGGTGACTCTTGTCAGTGGTGTCATCTCCATAAACAATGTCTTCTCATTGGTGACTCTTGTCAGTGGTGTCATCTCCATAAACAATGTCTTCTCATTGGTGACTCTTGTCCGTGGTGTCATCTCCATAAACAATGTCTTCTCATTGGTGACTCTTGTCAGTGGTGTCATCTCCATAAACAATGTCTTCTCATTGGTGACTCTTGTCAGTGGTGTCATCTCCATAAACAATGTCTTCTCATTGGTGACTCTTGTCAGTGGTGTCATCTCCATAAACAATGTCTTCTCATTGGTGACTCTTGTCAGTGGTGTCATCTCCATAAACAATGTCTTCTCATTGGTGACTCTTGTCAGTGGTGTCATCTCCATAAACAATGTCTTCTCATTGGTGACTCTTGTCAGTGGTGTCATCTCCATAAACAATGTCTTCTCATTGGTGACTCTTGTCAGTGGTGTCATCTCCATAAACAATGTCTTCTCATTGGTGACTCTTGTCAGTGGTGTCATCTCCATAAACAATGTCTTCTCATTGGTGACTCTTGTCAGTGGTGTCATCTCCATAAACAATGTCTTCTCATTGGTGACTCTTGTCAGTGGTGTCATCTCCATAAACAATGTCTTCTCATGGTGACTCTTGTCAGTGGTGTCATCTCCATAAACAATGTCTTCTCATTGGTGACTCTTGTCAGTGGTGTCATCTCCAAAACAATGTCTTCTCATTGGTGACTCTTGTCAGTGGTGTCATCTCCATAAACAATGTCTTCTCATTGGTGACTCTTGTCAGTGGTGATCTCCATAAACAATGTCTTCTCATTGGTGACTCTTGTCAGTGGTGTCATCTCCATAAACAATGTCTTCTCATTGGTGACTCTTGTCCGACTCCATTGTCTTCTCATGGTGACTCTTGTCCGTGGTGTCATCTCCATAAATAATGTCAATGTCAGTGGTGTCATCTCCATTTGACTCTTGTCAGTGGTGTCATCTCCATAAACAATGTCTTCTCATTGGTGACTCTTGTCAGTGGT